ACGATTACGGGATAGGAAATCCCAGCCAAGTATGATGTCATGAGAGCACGAGAAAAGGACGATAAACTCAACAATGTAGTGGTCCTCCGCAATTTTGAGTCGGGCAGTGCAGGCGGCTATAGGTCGAACAGGTTCTCCATTTGCTGCACGTAAGAACATATCAAGCGGCGTGGTCACCTTTCGGAGCTTGCGGCAAAGTTTGGCTTCTATAACAGACACAGCGGCACCGGTATCCACAAGAGCGTATGCATGGGCGCCGTCTACAAAAACTTCGAGGATATTTGACGGCAAGGTGCGAGGACTTGAAAATTTCGATGGCGCAGTTCTTGCCCCTTGAACTGCGACGGCTAGTTTCCCTCATTTTGAGGGGCTGGTCGTGGACGCATGGGTGACAAGGAGCGTCGATTGGGTGAAGGTGAGCGACGAGACGAATTTGCTGGATAGTCACGGGAAGACGTGTTTGACTGACGATCCGAACTTTCATAACCAAAAGGTAGTCGGTCCATATAGTTGCTTCGTGGTCGGACGTCTGTGTAGGCGGGCACGCGACGACGGCAGTATCGGGAGATATGGCCAGGTCCGCCGCACGCAAAACAGATCGGCCGGTTATCGCGCGTTCGCCAGGCATTTGCAGCAAGGGGCGCCGCCCACGCGACATACGACTGAGTCGAGGCTGTAGTAGCGAGGGGAGGAGCCCATGCGACGGAAGACTGAGTAGGAGCGGTGACATGCGGCAGTCCATTGAACGGCCAGGGCTGGTGTGGCTGCTGCCTCTTTACTGCGTCAGCATAAGTAAGAGGCGCGGCGACAACTTGCTGCTGAAAGGGCACTGGCATAGCCTCGGCAATCTGGTCCTGAAGTGCATGTCGGAGCATGGGAGCTAATGGTGTCGGTGGTTGCTCTTGCTGCTGCTGCGGGAGCTCTTGGCGCTGACAAAACGGCAGGAGGGAAAGCTGACGTGCGACCTCCTCACGCACAAAGTCTTTCATTTGTGCTAGAAGGTGGGAGTGGTCAGGTACGACGTCCAGTGCAGCGAGTGGTTGGTTAGGCTGAAATGGACGACGGGTGAGAGCTCGTTGCCGTCGCAATTCGTCGTAGTTCTGGCACAGAGTTACCACTTCAGACACCGTGCCAGTAGACTTCACCAGGAGCATTTGAAAGATGTCGTCATCAACACCTTTCATAATGTGCTGGATCTTGGCACTTTCGCTCATTGCGGCATCGACGCGCTTGCAGAGATCGAGTATATCTTCAATATAGGCGGTAAACGTTTCGCCAGGTTCTTGTGCCCGTGAGCGCACGCGTTGTTCGGCGCGCAACTTCCGCACGGCAGGGCGACCGAAAACCGAGGATATTGCCTGCTTGAAAGTGGCCCAGTTCTCGAACTCGAATTCGTGGTTTGTGTACCACAGTTTCGCCACATTAGCCAAGTAAAAGTTGATGGTGCTCAACTTAGCAGCGTCATCCCACCTGTTTGGTCCACTGACTTTTTCGTAGGACGACAGCCAGTCCTCGACGTCCTGGTCTTCGGCGCCTGAAAAGATCGGGGGGTCTCGCTGGTGAACCGGGCCGGGGCAAGTAGGAGCCGCGAGAGGTGCTGTCTGTTGGGCAGCGTCAACTTGCATGGTCGACGGCAGGGTGCGGGATCGGAGTTCCAGGGTGTAGGTAATGCAGTTACCCAGCACGATCCACCAAATGTAAAGGTGGTTTATTGAAGGACTCAGAAAGCGGGTGGTAGCTCTAAAGGAAGGCAGGCGAACCCAGATGACAGTGTTTGATCACCGATCTCGTGCCTTTTTCTTGTGCTGATGATAACTGACCTGATGGTATCAACGTCTTTCTTATTCACTACACAAGCATCGGTACAATAACTGAACCCATATCAGGGTACGTGGAAAAACTAATAAGCCACATTTAATGCACCCTCGCGTCGTACATAAAAGACACCACACATTTTCTTCGAGACATTGCAGGTATCTGTGTGCCAAAAAACTCGTACTTGGTCACTCTTGATGTCTCTTCATTATATACAAATACTCCTCATGATGACGGCATAGCTGCATTACGAAACATGTGCACAATCCATAGACAATCTAACACCCCAGATTTCTCTGCCATTACAACTTTGACGAGGATGGTCCTCGAATTAAATTCATTCGAGTTTAACCAAGAGTATTTTCGACAAGTCAGTGGGACCGCTATGGGCACCAAAATGGCACCTAATTGTGCCAACATATTTATGGGAAAGCTCGAATCTGAATTTCTTGCACAAAGTTCCTTGAAACCAATGTTATACAGAAGATACATAGACGACATCTTTCTTATTTGGACCCACAGCGAGGACGAACTTCTCAGCTTTATCAACACTTACAATGCTGTACATCCGAACATACACTTCACACACACATACTAGCAAGTTACCGTAAATTTTCTTGATGTTACCATAACGATGGAAGAAGAGAAGCTCTCTACAACCCTATAACGCAAACCAACGGATCGACAACAATAACTCCATTACCAAAGCGATCACCCACGCCACTGTGAAAACAGTATTTCATACAGCCAGGCTCACCGGTGTAAGCGAATCTGCTCTAGAGACGCTGACTTTGACACGAGCTCAAAGAGGGTAAAACTTGTGCTCGAGAAACAAAAATACCCCCCACATGTAATTAATGAAGCTGTTAAAAAAGCGAGAAAACTAAAGCGTGAAGACTTACTTATGAAGCGACCACCACGAGAAGACCCACAACGAACAAACCTCTGCTTGACTTACAGCACAAACTTTCCCAATGTAAACAAAATCCTTAAACGACATTACAACATTCTGGAACAAAGTGAACGTCTGAAACGCGCATTCCCATCCGCTCCAGGTGTCGTTTACCGACGACCACGTAACCTCAAAGACACCCTTGTCCACTCCCAAATCAACACATCACCCCCCAATTATTCATGCCGCCCTTGTTTAAAGCCACGATGTCTTGTATGTAAGGCGATGCGAGAAACAGACAGAGCAACCAGCACGCAATCCAAGTTTTCGATTAACATACGAGGAAACCTAACATGCGATTCCTCTAATGTGGTATACCTACTCGAATGCAACGTGTGTGGTATGCAGTACATCGGACAAACAGAAACACCATTTAGGATTCGCTTCAATAATCACAGAGCCCATGCGAAATCAGCCCCAAGTCTACCTCTATCAAAACATCTCAATCTTCCCGACCATGCATTCGACAAACTATCAGTAACGCTCTTAGAGACGGGATTTAAATCAAATCGAGAACGTGAACAACGAGAGTCATACCTTATCCACCGATTTAACACCTTCGATAGAGGAATAAATGAGAATCCTGGTACACTTGCAGCAATTAAAGCATTAGAAAACAATAGCGGCAACAATGAAAACAGTAACTGAGTTCACGGCACTGCAGCTGCGAAGGGCACTGGACAACCCAAAACAATTCCAAGTGTAACTACTCTTCCTAAGTGCAGCTGTCGTCTGTTTTCTGTTTTATGTTACTACCCAATCAATTGTGCCATGCATGACATGCCCAACAGCAACCATGTGCACAGCCGGGAGGCCCCCACTACACGCGTAATCCAGAAGCGGGCAAGAAATTAGCATTGCACCCGCTTGCACAGCCTACCGCAATACGGGGCATCCCTCCTTTTACGACGAAATGTTGACAGGGCGCGGAGTAGTTAAAGGCTTAGGACTTCCTGAAAAGCTCTTTTTTGCCCCACACCGAACCGCCAGTGCCAGGAGGGGCCGTCTGATCGGGAGGAATGCGTTAGTGAACGGAAACATACACAGACCGCTGACATCAGAAAGGTGAAGGGGAGAAGGGGGAGAGAGATGAAGGGGGAAGTGGAGGAAAGAGTGGAGGGGGGAAGTGGAAGGAAGAGTGGAAGGGGGCAGCCGAGGGGCGTCCACCGTATATTATTTTTCTCTTCTTCTCTTTTTTCTTCTTTTTCTTTCCTTTTTTTGTCTTTTTTTCCTCTTTCCTTGCCCTCTGATTTGAGATTGTATAAAGCTGAGCACCAACAAACTGTATCTTTAATCCTGATGAAGGCAATACTCTAGGCCGAAACGTCGAAATAAACCGATAAACCACGTTGTGACCGCTCACGGAGGATCTACTGGACTATATATATATATATATATATATATATATATATATATATATATATATATATATATATATATATATATATATATATATATCCTGTGTTATTTGAAGGTCGCAGGTGCGGATCCTGCCCACGGCAAGTTATATTTTCGCCCACTTTTCTTTCTTATCATTTACATTACGATTGGCCAAATAACTTCCCCTATACCTTCCTTGGCTATATTGTCTAATAGACCTCATTATTACTGTGTAAAACACGAAAATTGAGCCCTTAAGTATACACTTCTTTCCCTTATTCATTAACGAGGGTCTCACACTGGCACACTTGGTGCATTTAGGTTGTATACGGGGGCTATTGGTCAGCTGCCAGTTAGTAATAAGTTCACGTGCTACGTGACGCCAAACAGGCTCATCTAAAAGTGTGCCAAACCCACCTCCATGGCTACTAGTGGCGCTGACTACACTCTCATGTTCAAATTGACATAGATACCCAATAAAGTGGCTGGGGGGTTGCTGTCATGGTAGCTCAGTGGTATAGCATTGAACTCGTTATTCGAAGGTTGCAGGTTCGGATTCTGCCCACGGCAAGTTATCTTTTCGCCCACTTTTCTTTCTTCTCATCTACATTACAATTGGGCTAATAACTTTCCTTATATCTTCCTTGGTATTATTGTCTATTAGATCTCAATTATACTGTGTAAAATACAAAAAATGAGCCCTTAAGTATACACTTGTTTTGTATATGTATATATATATATATATATATATATATATATATATATATATATATATATATATAGAAACTACATGAAAGTGCTACCGTATAGGGAACGGGAAGAGAATCATATTTTCTGCTTTTTTTCTTCGCAGTTTCGGCGGCCAGTCTAGCCTTCTTCGCAGAATGTTAGGGAAATGGCACAAGACACAAAGCGCAGCAGAGGACCACCCACCAAGTTTAGGGGTACGCGGAAATAAAACAACAAAAGGTAACAAAAAAAAAGAAACCCAGAAACAACTTAATCAATCGCTTTGCAGAGTGCTTCTTAGCGGCTGCGCCAAAATTGTCGAAAGAAGTGCAGGCAAAGAGGCGCCGTAAATAGGTGGTTTATTCCTACGTTTTCTTCATTTGTTAAATAAAAATGTCTATCTGACCTAGTGACGAAAGGGAATAAGTTGCAGCAGCATTTAGTAGGGGCACGATCTCAGAAACAGCCTTCCGGATTCTGCGAAATAGGGAGGTACAACAACACACAATCGCCTTTCTCCCAGCTCACACGGGAAAGATCGAGAGTGCTCCATTCAACCTCATCGGGAAATCCCACACAGATGCGTGAGGAGTCGTCAACCGCGCAGCTTTTGAACAGCATGGCGACGATATTCAGGAGAACAAAGGTCCCCTAACGACGTACTATGAACTTGGCAAGAAATCTTATCTGAGCAGGCGATAGTGTCTGCCACCGCACAGTAAACTGAACAGGTCTCAGGCATTGACGCTCAGACACCTGCCGGTCAGGGCAAATCCCAGTCCCGCACTCATGCACGAAATAAACCCAGGAATACAGACGTCAAGTGCATGCGCGCTTTTCTCATACTTTGCCAGCTTATATCATAAGCTCTAGCAGTTCCTTGCGTTACTGGTTGAAAACGTTACGTCGGCAAAGTGGGAGGCTGAGCTACGAAGTACAATTTAGGGACTAAGCCATGTCCAGTCCGATGGGCCCAAGGCGTGGTGGACAGGTCAGGTCTATCTGTCCCGAGGTGGGAGCGGCCCGTCACGTGCTTGTTCACGCCCGAACGGACCTAAATAAAGTTTTATATACCATACCATATTCGCAGAGTGAATAATGATGAGTGGGGTGAACCTTCGGATGGTTTTATTGGTACACCGTCAATCGTCCATCCATTGGCCGCGTCCATTCATCTGTTCGTTTTGTCTGTCTGTTGATCTGTGCATCTGTCTGTCTGTCCGTCCACTCGTCCATTCTTCTCTTTGTCTATCTGTCCGTCTCTCTGTTCATATGCCCATTTGTGTGTATATCTGTCTGTTTGTCTGTCCATCTAGTGAACACTTGAAGTACCGCCAACTCGCATCTTTTCATTAAATATCCTTCATTTACAAGTACCGCCTTCCAGCAGACATTCAGAGCACTAAAAAATAAGTGGCTACCTACAACTACTACATACTTCGATGACGCACGACCCACGGTTTAAAGAGCTTAGCCTCTAAATGTAAAAGAGAATTACCACCTGTGCACATCACACATACAGAGTCCATGTTAATATAGTTAAGCGGTTGTTGCTTAGTGCCTTGCCGGAGACACTCAAGCAATACATAGGACACGCTACAACTTTAGATAACTTTTTCGTCAATACTATGGAGAAAGTGTCTCGCCTTCTTTTTAAATGCGAAGCATTTTTGGCGAACTTCGGTGACTTTGAGCGTATCTATCTATCTATCTATCTATCTATCTATCTATCTATCTATCTATCTATCTATCTATCTATCTATCTATCTATCTATCTATCTATCTATGTATCTATGTATCTATGTATCTATGTATCTATCTATCTATCTATCTATGTATCTATGTATCTATGTATCTATGTATCTATCTATCTATCTATCTATCTATCTATCTATCTATCTATCTATCTATCTATCTATCATTATATCTATCTATCTATCCGCCCACGACTTTAAGCTCTCCTGGCCGTTTGGATATTGGTATCAATAACAAACTTGGTAGGATATAACATAACTGTATGACGAACATAACTGGCTAGTCATAACATGAAAATTATGATATGTATGTCATAAATGTCGTGATTTACATTTCATGGTGTTGCTGCTTCTGCGGTGGTTTAATTCACAATATATGTTGCAAAACAGGTATGGTATAACATGACTGCATGGAGAAGGCAAGTGACCGACCCTAACATCAAAATCTTGACATGTGTGTCATGTAAAAACATTACTACATGCTACGCTCATGATGCTCTCGCGGCCGTTTCACTAGCTTCACATGCACCAAATTCGGTATTACGTGACGCGAACGGACGACATAAATAAATGACAAGACCAAACATGATGATCATGGCATGCTTGTAATGTAACAACATGACTACATCCCACACTAATGAGGCGCTCGCGGCCGTATCGCTACCTTACCATACGCCAAATTTCGATATTACGTCACGTTAATAGATGACGAAGGCATGTGACTGGTGCAAACATGATAATCTTGAGATGCGTGTGATGTAAGAACATTATTACACGCCAAACTCAAGGCTCAAATACACTTCAACGTGAGCCGGCGTGCGTGCGCGCCGGCGTTCGTTTTATCCCCTCACGCCGGCGAAGCCATGCCAGGCACCGATATCCCCCTAGAAGAAATGAATGGATCTGCCCACTGACCTTCAATTGTTGATCTGCATGCCATACACTTGCAGGTGTGCCCTGCGCTGCATTGCATTGACGCATGCGCGTTTGACCACACACGGCACTCCTCCGTCACGAAGAGAGGCAGACGCGCTGGTGTCCAAGTAACGTCGTCGGCGCGAAATGCAGCTTGTCGCGTTTCGCGCCGGTTGCCACCGAGCCGCGCCGACAGGCGCTAGTCGCGCAGGTCGCGCCTGGCGTCACACTATAGCGTGCTCGCGTTTTGGTAGCGTGGCGTCACTGTGACCAGCCTGCGCGTGCGTCAAAGTTGTGTTGGAGTATATTAGGCCTTTCATGACGCGCTCGCAGCCATTGCGCTAGCTCCACATGTACCAAATTTGGTATCACGGGAAGTGAATAGACGACGAAGGTAAATGTCACGTCCAAACCTGATAATCATATTATGCGTTTCATGTAAATCATGACCAAATGACCCGCTCATAGCGTTCTCACGGCCGTTTCACTAATTTCAGATATACCGAATTCGGTATTACGTTACGTGAATGGGCGGTGAGTGTAAATGACACATCCAAATATGATAATTACGATATGATTTTCATGTAAAATATCACTACGTTTTACGTTCATGGCACGGTCGCGGCCGTTTCGCTAGCTCCATATAGACGAAAGTTGGTGTCAGGTGACGTTAATAGATGACGAAGGTAAACGAAACGCCCAAACCTGGTAATCATTATACGGAAGTCACGTACAACATAATTTACTTCCGGTTCTTAACTTTGTGCTGATTTTAAAGTGACCTATCACCCTTCATCATTCGTGCTTCGCATATCATCGATTTTCACTGTACGTGCGATCTGCCAATTTTTCATTCAGACATATTTATCACTAAGATTGAAAAAAGTATATCAAGAACAGAAAGAGAGTATCAACAATACGCAAAGCGTGATATAATAAAAGGCCATGACAGCATTTAGAAATTAGAAAAACACGCACTGGTTGATAGACACAGCACCAAATATCTGTACTTTCACGAGCTTAATTATTTTCTTAAAACGCATGTTCCGAACTCCTCTCTAAATATTAACAGCAAATTATTCCATAGTGCAAAATTTCATTACGGAGGCAAGTCCGTCTCCTAAAGCTGTGGTTGATTCCGTGGGAGAACGATTTCAATTTGTTTGGGAAGTGTGGCTACCACTGTAAGCGCTCCCTCGTGCTTTGAAAGTCACATTGTAGAAGTATATAGGTGATGCTCCGGAAAGAGAGACTAACCAGATTAGACAGTTTGGAGAATGGCAAGTAAAGCAGGCTTTTCACATGGGCCATCTGGTTGTTCAAACAAAAAGTGAATGTCCTTTTTGTGTCCAGCGCATTACTGTTTTCACACTTCGAAGTGATTTTTGTACACCACACTAGTAACGTCACAGCTAAACTTGTCCTCAATTTTATACGCAATGGCTAAATATGAAGCCTCATTCATTTTTGCAGTCACACCTTACATTTGCGCACACCTACTTGGAGTTTCTGGCATGATCTAGCACCCTGATGCTGGGCAGATTTGCTTGTTTTGGCTGTGGTTCATTATTCTCCTCGGTATTGCTTTTTCTGTAAAACACCTCCGGCAGTGTTTGAAAAAAAAAAAAAGCCAGGGCTGCGCTGAAGGCGCAGGCAGCCCAGTTATAGCAAAAGCTATAAGAACGGCCTTTCAGAACCTTTTCAAAATACTCGTTGGGTAACTACTGGAAGCACACGTTTTGATACACACAAGAGTAATGAATATAAACTTTTGGGTAGTGGGCCGGCAATCGCTATGCTATTTTCTGTCATTTTGTTGAGAAGTGTGGTATCTGCTAAACACTTGGAGAAAATTTGCTCTTGTGCTTGTTGCCCTTCACTTGTGGCTCTTACCAACTGTGGGGGATCGGTAAAATATCGAGTGGTCTTATAAAATATTATTCAATTTTGGAATAAAGTAACTTACAAATTGCAAACGTTCAAACATTAAAATAAAATTTTGATGGTCACTGATCTCTACTTACTCTAAAGATTGTGTATTAGTAATAGATATTAACCTAGATGAAAACCTAACTTAAAAAGAAAAAAAGAGAAGTTATATGTATGTCGACACAGAAGAGTATTATTAGTTTGTTAGTCTTTTCGTTTCATACATATAGTCCCGCACTGCCTCGCAAACTTTCGTCTGGCAAACCCAAAAATAGAAGCTCCAAAGGACAGAATCATGGGCATGGATAAATTTATTCTAATAACACGTAAGGAATTTTCTATTTTTAATTTACGAGCTCTGCCAATTGTTCATGCAGTGGCTGACGACGATGATGAAATATGGCTAAAGTGGGTATGCGCCGCAGTCAATAGGGGAACAAGAAAAAGCTTTTGTGATGTTTTGGGGCATTGGAAGGCCCACTCGTAGTGCTATTCACATTATTTGACGACTGGTTGTTTTTTCGCTGTTGCAAAACGCTTTATAAGTCGTATTAACGGGATTCCTTTCCCGATATCAAGCCAGCTTAGTTTGGCAAGTGACAACAGGTCACAAGCACCAGTGTAGCTCAGTGGTAGATTACTGGGCTGGCACCCAGTGGACTCGGGCTTGAGCCCAACTGTGTCATTCCACGCAATGTGGTTACGGACATCGGCGGTGGCGGCGGACGACTGCGTGTGACCCGAGTTGTGATCTCATTACAGCTTTCACTGTAAAAAACAGACCCAGCGAAAACAAAAAGAGTGGATTTTCTACGCCTTTCAAAT